CCTCGGTTTGGTATCACTGGTCGCGGGTTTTATATCGCATAAAGTTTGTGGAAGGACTGGGTTTGGGTTTCTGGTGGTGAATGAAAAACTTGTTTGGTTGTTGTTGCTTTGTTGGTTGTACCGCGTTGTACAGGTTGATGAGGAACCGAAGAGGCAGATAAATTGGGTGCTGCTGTGGTAGAGAGGACGGCGGAGGGAGGTAAGGAAAGGGGGAGGTAGAGAAGGAGGGAGGGAAGGGAATAAGGAAGAAGGGTGGAGAAAGAGAAGCAATGGGAGGGAGGGAGGGAAACTGAGAATGAGGGAGGAAGAAATGAAGGAGAGGGAGGGGAATAGAGAAGAGGAGGAGGGAGAAGGGAGATAGGAGGAAAAAAAGAGCAGATTGGGAGGGGAAGAGGGATAAAGTGAGGTGTTGGGAAATAGAGAGAGAGAGACAGACAGACAGAGTGAGAGACAGAGACAGAGACATACACAGACAGTGACCGATATACACAGACAGACTGACAGTGACAGACAGGCAGAGAAAGACAGAAACAGACAGACAGAAAACAATATGAATAAAGATAAAAAAACAAACCAAAACAAAGGAGGTTACGTTGTAAAGGAAAAACATTATTACATTCCATTATTCCCATGACTTACACACGCCCATTCATAAATCACGAACTCCAAAACACACACGCTAGCAACAGTGAATGTCACCAAACTTCCCCGAAATCTTCCCCGGCAGCATCGATGATTCCCCCTCCCCTCTCCTCCCCCTTGCCCCCTCCTTCCTCCACCCCCCATCTTGGAATATCCACTGCCTTAGGCTACGAGACTGAGAGGAATCTGTATGTAGCCTTACTTTTTCAGGTTTTGGAAATACCAGCTACTTGTATGGGTGACTGTTTCGCTAAATTTATAGGGCTGTATCTTTCTTCTTTGTAGATGTTTGATGTTTGTGAAGCACTCTTGTTTGGTTGCATCGAGTTTTGTTGGCGTAGGTTAGGAATTCAGGAATCACTAAACATGTGTCTTGTTATTTTCTTATTTTTTTCTATCCAGAGACATCTAGTATTTCTGATGCAAGTCATGTACTTTCGAAAGATCATTGATATAATAATTCTGAAAAAGGGAAATGGAGTCTGTATGACTGGGTAGATATGATCTAATCTAGAAGTACATATGCATGGAAACAAGAATGGAAATACATGTTAGAAAAGGATGCATCTCGTTTCATCGAAATAAACATCATTGTTATTCCCTCAGTAAATGGGGCGAGGACTCGTCTCCCATTATCTGTACATGAACCATTAAGAATAAAAGATTCTCTTTCAACATTCAGATGAAACTTTATTTGTAAATGGGGCGTTGCTTGTGCCAGAACTTGTTTCTATCAACATCCAAATGAAGATTCATCTAAGGGTACTCGATAATGCCACAATCCTTTTTCTCACACAGGTACAGGTAAAAGATAAAAAGACCATTTCTATTTATTTTAGTTTTGTGAGATATGTTACAGAGAAGCTACACAATCTGTACCACACGGAGAATGCAGTCGTTATCCTCAATCCTCAAGGTAGTCTGATGAATAATCACATGCTATCCTGTTAAAGATTATTTGTTTTCTTTTCTTTTGTCAGGCTGTTTCTTAAGCGTATTGCCTCTGCCAAGGTGGTTATGTTTTTAGCAGCGTTGGTTTGTTAGTTTGTTCGTTGGTTAACAGGATAACTGAAAAACGTTATGAAAAGATTTTTTTTTTCATTTCCATCGATATTATAATAGTGTGTTTTAGCTTAACTTAGATGCCTTTAACTTTTGGTGGTGATCCGGATCCAGGATTTTTTAAATGATTGTATCAGTTAACTCTATGTACTGGGGTTATTGTTATTATTATTACCTTTATTGTCTCCGCCAAGGAGGTTATGTTTACGGACGTCACCAGTGTACTTGAAAAAGAGGTGATTTAAATGTAATTCTATAAGTGTGGATATTTTCATTGCATGTGACCCTATTGCCTTGGCAGAGGTAAGCGTTCTCTGAGTGCGTTTAGTGTATTATAGAATAGTAAACCAGTTTAGGTTATTTTTTTTCTTTCTTCAACATCAAATATCAAATTACCCTCATTATTATTATTATTATTATTAATATTTATTATTAATTTTTTGCTTTCGAAAAGGACATGAAATGTGTTATGTATGGAATATAGGTGGATGTAATGACTAATACTAATATTTCATAGGGACCTTTGGTAGGGCGTCTCCTACTGAAATTACTATTGGATTTTATGACCTAATTTCAATCTACTCTCTTTTTCCTTTTCCTTACATCAGTTTTTTTCTGACAAGCATCTCATATGACTTATATGCCTAGTTGCAGGATGTCATTCTGTGCAGATCCTTATCACACGCACGCACACCCACCCGCACACGCACGCACGCACGCACACACAGATAGATCGAAAGCCAGAGGGAGAAAAGAAGAGAGAACGGGAACGAGAACGGAAATCGGCTCCACCTTCCTGACCTAACTTTCCCCTGCAGAAAGATGCCTGCGTCGGCCTCCCTCACGGCCCTGTTCCTGCTGACCCTGACCCCGCGCCACGCCCACGCCCAGTGCCTCTCCGCCCACGATGACCTGACCAGCATCCAGACCTACCATGACATCTCGGGCATGGTCAGCTTCGCCTTCGACCTCTTCAGGGAGCTCCTGGACCGGGCGCCGACGGAGGGGAATCTCTTCTTCTCGCCCTACAGCGTGTGGAATGGGCTGGTGCTGGCCTACCTGGGCGCCGAGGGCAAGACGAGGCAGGAGATGGAGGAGGTCATGGGCGTGAGGGAGAAGGTGTCGACTCTCAAGACCTGGTGGCTTTTGGAGAGGATGTGAGTATGGGCGCGTGGGGGGAACGTCGTGTCTGGCTTGGTAGGATTTTTCCGTTTTATGGCATCGATGTTAGCTTGCGAATATCTAGTTCAATTGGACGGGATGGAGAAAATCATAATAAATCATACAGGAAATCATACATGCTCGATAAAGTAGAAATTTTATGAAATATTAGGAAATGGAATATCTGTTTGTTGTGAAGGAAAACATATCTGGTCCGCAGGGATTTTAACTTCTATTTTTTCGCATTATGATATTGATGTAATTTGATTATCGGTGGATGTTAAAAAATGGTCGGGATAAAGTATAAACAGTAAGAAATATTAGGAATTAGAACATCTAGACGACTTTGTTGTGGAGGGAAACGTCATGTCTGATCTGCCAGGATTTTTTGCGTTGTGGTATCGATATTATATTGTGATTATAGATGATTGGCGGAAAATGGGAAGGCTGGAGGTCATGCACAACACCATGAGCATTTGTTAAAGTACAAAGCGTAAGAAATAGTAAGTAGAAAACCTGGTTCGAACGGGTCCGTTTCTCAAAATCTATTTCTTTTTATTCCTTTTTGCTGACAAAGGATTTTATCTTCCTTTACTTAACAGCCTTAGATGACTGTCAAAATGTGTTATTTTTTCATCTTCAAAAAATTATGTGCTTTTGGTTCGCATTTCGCTTCGTAATTCCATAAAATGAGATAAAAAAAAGGACAAAAAGAAAACAGAACAGCTTATTGCATCGCATAAAATCATATAAGAGAACAAAAGTAACTGCTTGAATTAAAGGATAAAAGATAACCTTTCCATCAGATATATTGTCAAAAAGATTTTTTTTTTTTTTCAAAGATTTTTTCTTCTGCATTTAATGTTTTTGGTTCTATCATTATTACCTCACCGAGAGCTTTTTTTCCCCTCACTAGGTACAGCACAAGACACACACACAAAAGGCTTTCAAATCATTAAAGAAACTAAGTAGGCGCTCCTTCCCCCCAGGTACAAATCACGGCAAGTCAAGAACAGCTTCAACACGTTCGTCTTGGCCAACCGCGTGTTCGTCGACGCGAGGGTGCCTCTCAGCGCCTGCGCCGCCGACATACTGAACGAGCAGATTCAAGTCGTCAACTTCTTAAAGGTGAGGATTATTACTGTTTAGTTATTGACATTATTACTACTATGAGTAGTAGTAGTAGTATCAGTTATAGTAGTATTAGTATCAGCAGTAATATTTGTAGTAGTAACAGTAGTAGTAGTGCTAGCATTATCATAATTGTTATTATTATCATCACTGTGTTCATTATAGTTATTATCGTTGTTGATATAATAGCTATTTTAATGTTTCAACTTTATTTCCTAGGATGACTGACATTGGATATCATGGTAGGGTAGATATGCTCATTCATTCACTTAGCACATTCCTGACAGTTCATTTCTTCACTCAAACAAGTTTCCTGTTCTAGAAAATATATTCATTCTACCTTTACCTATTCAATTCTACCTATTTATTTTTCCTCTACGATTTTTTTTACCTCTAATAAGTTCATATTCTATTTTACCTTTTACCTATTTTACTTTAGATAGGTAGAACAATATAAGTAAAGGTAGAATAGATAGGTAAAGTAAAATAGGTAAAAGGTAAAATAGAATTTGAACTTATTTCTTAAATTCACGTCCTTTCCTATGAATTCTACCTTTCTTCTTCGAAACAGTCTTTATACTTTGTATACCTCATCCACTTTAGCCCCCCCCCCCCTCGCCTTCCCCACAGTACCGCGACGCCACATCTCTGATCAACAAATACACGTTCGAGAACACCCATGGCCTCATCTCCAACGTCGTGAACGAACGCGAAATATACCAAGCGATCATGGTCATGGTGAACGTGGCCGCTTTCAAGGGGCTTTGGCGACACCAGTTCCGTGTGAATGACACTTACTATGGGAATTTCTACGTCACGGCAGAAAAATACGTGCAGGTTCCGATGATGAAACAGGAGGGCCAGTTCAGGAATGGTGGGTATTATAATGATTATAGTGTTTGTACACGAGATCGATAGGGTTAATGACTATTATAACGTTTTTACATGTTTCATATGGATATCGTTATTATGGTATTGATATTTCAGTAGTTTATATATTTTGA